TCACCTCAAAATAATTTTGTTTTAAATAAAAATCCTTTCATAAAGTTTTGAGAGGAATATATTTATTTAATAAGGTATATGTAAATTAAGGTGTAAAAAGCTAATTCCTACCATTAATATATGACAGGGTCCTTCTGCACAGAGGCGTACCAAGAGCATTTGGCACCCCGGGGCGGGTCCTATTTTTGCCCCCCCACCCGCCACCCCCCTCAACTTTAAATGTAAAAAACAACCCACATTTTTTTTATGTATTTAGCACTGAGCACTGTGGGTGTGTTTGTATGTAGTGTTGGCCTTTGAATGCAAGCATGCATTTGTGTGTTGTGTGGTATTTGAATGCAGTGGCATGGTTATATATAATGGTGGGATTTGTATGTAGGGTTGATGTTGAAATGCATGAGTGTATTTGTGTGTAGTGTTGGCGAGATTTTGAAATGTCTGCACATATACATACACACGGACATACACACATGCAGATTCATATACACACATGCAGATACACAGAAACACAGTCACACACAGATACACATTGACACACATGCAGACATCGTGGCGACTGTAGGAACAATATATGGGGGGAGGGAAAACATAAGATACCACAGTCAAAACAGGGGGGAGGGTGAGCAGTAAAACTTTTCACTAGGGGATGGGGTAATATGCTGCCATTGGCAGTCTGATGCCAGCATGTTGTGCTCTGCATGCTGACATCTGACTACACATTTGCATATAATTCAAATTAGCCACCCAGATTTCTTGTTGTGGGCTGACTGAAACCTCTTAATTTCAATCTTTGTTTATCAGATAACTACCCTATTTGTTATCCTTATGTGGGATTGCCATATTTAAGGACACCAAATAAGGTGCCATCTGCTAAACAGCACCGTCATTTGGTATCTTTAAATATGGAAATATCACATACGGGCACCAACTCAGGGAATTATCTACTAAACAGCTAAAGGTTTAAGATGAAAAAAGCCTCTTTCTTATTTTCAGTTGATTAGTAGATAAATCCCTTCTTTGTTATCCTTATATTAGATTGCAATATTTAAGGACACCAAATAAGGGAGCTATCTATTCAACAAATACACAGAGATACACACAATCACACACATAATCACTGATATACACAAACACATTCAGAGACCCACACACATACAATCACAGACACACACAAACATTACACTACCTTGCACTAAAAGGGCTGGAGTGGATCCTCACTCCCTAGTGGTCAGTGGTTGCTGCTGGGATCTCTGTGCTCTTCCTGCACAGGTCCATCGCACGCCCGGTAATGACCCCGAGGCCGCGATGACATCATATCCTGCCTGCCGGCTCACTGCAGGCAGACAGTCACACACACAGAGGAGACAGTCACACACACACAGTCACACCCACAATCACAGGCAGACAGTCACACACACATGCAGACAGTCACACACACAGAGTCACACAGACAATCACAGGCAGACAGTCACACACACACACACACACACACACACACACACACAGAGACCCCCACACACACACACAATCACAGGCAGACAATCACACACACACATACACAGGCAGACAGTCACACACACAGTCAAACAGACAATCACAGTACGTCAGTCACACACACACACACACACAGTCTAAGACAGTCACAATCACAATTACACACAGCACACACTTTCTCACTTACAGTAAGCTTGGGCTGGAGGAGGAGTGGATTCAGCAGGGACTCCTTCCTGCTTCCCCTCTGAGAGGCTACATTTAGCTCCGCCCCCACGCCCGGCCTGGCTCCGCCCCACGGCCATTCTAGCTCCGCCCCAACTCTCCGTGCTGCCAGGTCTCCTGCTCCTGCTTGCTCCCAGCCCCTGCGTGTGTGAGCTGTGTCGGCTGCCCGGCGCCCCTGCTGCTATGGTGCCCGGTGCAGCCACACAGCTCACAGAACCTCAAGCCTGGCCAGCCCTGGTGGCACCCCTCTACCTGATGGCACCCGGGGCGGACCGCCCCCCGCTTCCTCCTTAGTACGCCACTGCTTCCGCATATATATGCACCTTGGGTCAGACAGTGTTTGAAAGCCGACAGTCTCTATGGTCTTCCCTGCTTAACTCCCTGCAATGAAAAAAGAAAGACCATAGAGATTAATTGTCAGTTTTAAAACACTCTCTGACCCAAGGTCCACGTTAATGGCTGAAGGATCCTGCCGTATACGAAAGGTAGGGATGAGATGTTCTCATTTTTTACATGCACTTCATTAAAAAAATATATTTTCTTTCAAAGCTTGAAAGAAAATGTCACCATGTTTTGAGGTGACATTTTTCCTTTAAGAAATCTCTGCCTGCTTGTACTCATGATATAAATTCAGTCCAGCCCAGTCGTATCACAGCGATGCTTACTGCCATTACTGGAGAGACATGAAGTGCTGATGCTGAATTAATCTCGACTTGGTATTCAACAACAATTGTAAAGATGCAGTCATTAAATATTGCACATAAAAAACCATTAGAAGTTGGTGGGAAAACATTTTTTGGGATCAGTTTCAGTGGCTCACACTAAAAACTTATTCTATAGCCTAAACAGATTGACATTATCTAAATTTCATATAAAGAATATTACTGTTTTTTCTCATTGGTATTCTCCATTCAATCTGCATCATCAGACATGCATATTTAAGAGAAAAATCGCAGTGTAATATGGCGTTAAACCATTTGGTCCTTGCTTGAGGAGATCAGTGCAATCTTTTCAATATTTAATTTGACTAAAATTGAAATCTTCCCTAGGAAGGTAAAGGCTGCATACTGAATGAGTTACCATGAGTGAGCACTTTAATTACTCAAGTTTTGACTTTTTATTATGCCCCATTATGTCTCGGTTTGAGGATAAAGCTACAAGAAAGATAGTCCAGGTGGCATTTGATAGATTAAAATTGCACTTGTGTCTTTTCATGCTTTTTGTAATCTTCACATCCAGCCTTTTCAAGGTTCTGTTAATGATAGCTAGAGGTTGGTGCAAATTATTATTTTAACCTCTCTAGATGCTTCCATAGGTGCTTCTACAGCAGTTGTTATAGATGACTTGATGAATGGATATATGGAGATGCCAGGCATTACATTTATGTGTTGAATATTTATAAAATAGTAGATGTATTAATTTTGCTTCAAAATGCAGCTTGTGGAAATTAATTTTACAGCTTATGTGGCATATGGTCAAACCACTCTTGGTATGCCACACCATTTTTCAGAGAGAAGGAACCAAAAGTGTATCTATATATAAAGACAAAATGCAGTGCAATAATTTTTTTGTTTAAAACTAGAAATGTGCAATTCGTTTCGTTCCGAATGTATATTTGGACGAATGTCGTGCAATTTGGACATTCAGATGCTTACGAATGTCCGAAGTTCGAATTGCTAAATTTCCGAAGTGCCAAACCAAACCGAATTGCCGAAGTTGCAAAGTGCTTTGGATTTTTGAAAAGTGGCAAAACAAGTAGTTAGGGTTAGAAGTTAGAGTTAGGGTTTAGGGTCAGGGTTTAGGGTTTGACGAAGTTCCAAAGTGCTGAATTTCCAAAGGGCCGAACCGAATGCCATTGGTCTGAATTGCTGGATTTTACTTACTTGAATTTCCAAACCGAACCAAATTTTTTTGCCCATGCACATCCCTATTTAAAACTCAAATGCTTATAAGTATGAAATAGTTCTGTCAGTGCCTCATTTCTATGTAAACAAATAAAACAACTTTTAGTTTCAACCAAATTCTGACATCAGATATATATTCAATGGAGACTCCAAAGTTTATATTGCAACCAGTCAAACCATTTTATAGTAGTTATATCTCATTCTTGGGGTCCCCAGAGCTGCTCCTCACCTTAGTATATCCACCAGAGAAAAGTAGACTCTATCTTATTAGCTAAAAACAAATACTATAAAGTAAAAATAAATCACTAATAGTAAAAGAATGTACAGCGCTGAAGGAATATTACACTTACCCCTAAGGATGCTGTAAAATAAAATAAAATATAGTGCAATACAGCCTGCTATAATAAGGTAAACATATACTCAATGGAAGGCAAGGATAGGCTCAAGTCACTTCCGCTTTTGTGTACTCAGGTGACACTCAACCTTTTCTGATATGATGTATGGTGTCCTTGCTTAGAGCCCAGACTTGGCTGAAAATTTTAAAGTTGATGTATCCTTATGGGAGATACCTTCCCTCTTTGTGCAGCATCAGCAGTTGTAGACAACCCACCAGATGACTTTAGTGATGTATATTTAAAAATGTATTGTATTGAAACAAAATAAAAAACAATTTAATACATACAAATAAAAAGTCATGGTAGATTCAATCTCGATCTGAAACGTGTTTCGCCAGTCAAAACCCGGCTTTCTCAATTGGTCTATCTTAGGAGCTTCCATTAACATTCCCAAGCTAAGCCCTGAAGTTTTGAAAATGTTTCACTTGGGGAAAATGTGTCTTATACCCACTGTAACACATGATTGATTAATATAGTAAACGAAAAAAAGAGAATTGACTAATATCCAATGGGGAGATTATAGCAATGACATTGACAAGGACATAGAGAGGGAAAGAGGTTTAGAAATGTTAGCGAACTAAAGAGTGGCTAGATTTAAATAAAATGGTATGAAACACACAAAGAAAACAAAAACTATCCCTTACTGAGATAGTGAGTGATATACTAAAGTGCCTGAATAAAAGCAGCTCAACACAAAAAGTGGAATACCTTAATCCACAATAAAGTGCAAAAAACAAGAAAATGCAAAATACAAGAAAAAAAGGTATAAACAATATACCAGCAAGTGGAGCGCTATATTGGATATATATATAAATAATGAGGGGGTATACTCACCCCTCCAACATAGTGATACAATGTGTCCAAATGTACATACAAAGTAAAACAACAAAAAGAGAGAATATAGTGCAGATGGTTTACAAAAAAATAAAAAATGAATAATGGTAGCAATTGGTTGAAACCACTCACGTGGGTTGGAGCCTATAAGCTTCCTCAGTAGCTGTGAAGTAGCCTCAGGAATCTTCCACTTATAAAGTGGAAGATTCCTGAGGCTACTTCACAGCTACTGAGGAAGCTCATACAAGAGTGAAACGCGTTTAGCTGGAGTTTGGACTTTTATACTTGGACTTTCCATCATTTAGCTTATGTGCTTTTGAGAAGTCTAAATATTTTTTTTATTATTATTATTTTTTTTATCTCTACAATAAATTATTTTTTTATATATTAGTCCATATAGTCCTTTCTAGCCTCCAGGAACACCATGTGGGGAATGCTATCCCAATAAATTAGCACATTGCCAACAAACCTCAGAGCCAGGAATTTAAGGCTCTGTCTAAGGTGAGCATATCTATTACTATCTCACTATATTGTATACACCATCTGTACAATACCACCTATGAGGTTCTCTCTCTCTGTTTGTTCCATATCTTCGGGAGAATATCGTTTGGGATAAAGAGGTGTGTTGCTGCCTCAAGAGCAAGAAGGAGTCACTTACGGAGCCAATAGCTTATAAGCTCCAACCCACGTGAGTGGTTTCAACCAACTGCTACCATTATTCATTTTTTTATTTTTTGTAAACCATCTGCACTATATTCTCTCTTTTTGTTGTTTTACTTTGTATGTACATTTGGACACATTGTATCACTATGTTGGAGGGGTGAGTATACCCCCTCATTATTTATATATATATCCAATATAGCGCTCCACTTGCTGGTATATTGTTTATACCTTTTTTTCTTAAATAAAATGGTAAAAAGAAAATATAGAGTGTGCAGACTGTGCCTGATACACCCTTATTCAGGGCTAATTTGTCCCCCAAGACTCTTATTGAAGTCCCACCCATTTTCCATTTGTTTTGGTGCTGCATTGTCTTGTTTAAAATAAAACAAAAACATGATCATTGACACTATATTTATATTGGTTTGTTAATCCCTAGAGCAAAGGTTGGTATTTTGTGATTAATTTTTTAACACAGTATAATTAGATTGAATTTAAACAGCGCAATTGTGTATGATTTAATCTAATGGAGGAAGCAAACAATAAGTGTCCTTTATGACTGTGAAATCAATCAATTAATAAATAAACAATGTATCAGAAAAAAGGCTAATTCACAGGGGAGTTACTAATGGAACAATATTTGCATGCCTGTGAGTGAGATAATCAAGGTCTCTGAGGAAAGATCACGGCAGGATATGGTGAGGAGTGAGACTATGACATGTGCATTGAGAGAGAGCAAGGAAAGCTAATGGAGGATAAAGGACACACCGGAGAGAAACAGGTGATGCAACAAGCATCATTAGTTTGACAGAGAAGTACAGGAAAATATTCAAATTGAAGTATTGTAGAAAACATGGTGACAAACGAAATATATAAGACAAAGATACTGGAAATGACATTGATATATATATATACAATTCAACTGTCTCTTTTAAAAAATATAATTAGAGTGGCCTCACACAGACTTTTGACCTTATTTTAAGCTCTCTAGCTAGTATGAAGAAAGTGTGAAGATCTTGATGTATAATAAATAAATGTGTTTTTGTGTGTGTGTATGTGTGTGTGTGTGTGTGTGTGTGTATATATATATATGTATGTGTGTATCCAAAGAAGTTCTTGCACCAGACTAACCAATTAACAAAATTCCTGGTGCACAATAGCCATAGTCAAAAATACATATATGCAAAAAACGACTTGCACTCACCGTCTTAGATGAGGTTTAAAAATATTTATTTTTTGAAGTTATTCAAGAGTGCAAGCCTTTTTTTTTTTTGTGTGTGTGCGTGTGTATATATATATTGTAGTGTACAGTTCACTATTATGAAAAAAGATACTAACTGTTTTTATTTTGTAGGAATCCAGACACAGTAGTGCAGTGGAAGAGGATTCTGAAGGAGACAATGACTCGGAAGAGTTTTACTATGGAGGCCAGGTAGGTGTAAACCAGTGCAGAACAATTATACAATTTGAACTGCAATTTTACCATTTTCCATATTTATTAAAAATATGTGATGTTTTAACCCCTTAAGGACACATGACATGTGTGACATGTCATGATTCCCTTTTATTCCAGAAGTTTGGTCCTTAAGGGGTTAAAGGGCAGGTCTCAAAAACTGACTTCTTTCAACGTAACTGCCTAGTTTGTACGAATAGGCTGGCTCGGACATTGATTTAAACAAAATACAGGGTTATTCACTAAACTGGATATTTGGAGCAAATAGCTAAAGTTTGCACAATTTAGGCCCAAGTAGCCAAACTGAAAATATTTTCCAACTCAGGCCTCGATTTAATATTTTTAGATAAGCTTTTCAATTTATTTAATATTTTTGGGTAAATTCTAAAAAAAATTTCAATATATTAAAAAATATATCGTATATAAAATAAATATATAACAAAATTTCAAAATATCAACATATTTTTCAAAATGTGAGATCCTTTAAACGTTTATCCAAAAATATGAATTTTTTTTTTTTTAAATGTTCATCCAAAAATATAAAATCGTTGCCTCGGTTAGTATTTCAGCTCAGCTGTTTTAGTCTACCATTTGCAAATCCCTTGTCACTTCTCTACAAATGTCTGGTTTAGTGGATTCCCAAACTTATAGAATAGTGTCCATGATTAAGAGGTAAATAAAGTGTTACAGTTGTGGAGTTCTCTCAAACCACATTTTACCTTTCAATAAAGAGTTTGGTCATGTTGAAAATAATTTCAAGGGAGTTATCTAGGGCCAATACATTACAATTTCGTGCTGTTCTCTTAACACATCCGCTGGTCTGGTTTACATGTCCCTGCTTTATTTGATTTGCACAGGATATTGTAATAAGCATCCATAAAATCATGCTGTGTCTGCATCCGTGACAAACAAATCAACTGAAACCTAGTACAAGTAATATTTCAGTAATTCAATTGTAAGCACATAGAACACAATGCAAGCTTTTTATACGCTGCAATGATTAGGTATGTTTCATCTACAGACAATATTTTTACTTTTTGTAGAATTGTGATGTTTATAGTACATTCTATTTGCTGTTGGTGTAAATTGTACTATATAGTGTGTCTACATGAGTTAAATAGCGTGAAACTAGAAACAAACGAGTAACTTATATATACACGAAATTGAAACATCAATTGTAATGTGTAACAAAATACAAGACATGGAGAATTCAATATTCCAAGTGTGGCAGGGTTTAATTATCTGGTTGAGAAAGTTTTAAAAACAGTGTTACGTTTATTTTAGGAAACTAGTGAGAAATTAGAAGGGCAAATACAAATTAGTTTTAGGGGAAAGGGTTATTGGTTAATGATACAGGGTAGAAATATGGTGTGAATCCTGACAGTATTATGTAGTATTACTACATTTGATACAAATAAAACCCAAGTGGGAGATTCACAGGAAGATAAAACTTTATGGACATCTTCCAAGATAAGAACCCTCACTGGTCCTGGTGAAAGTTAAGGACGACATTTTGTAAAAGTAGTAGTAGTACTTCTATAAGTAAAACAAACCATTTATTCAGTTTTTAAAATGAATAATTTAGTGAACTAAATATATCAATATTTCCACCAAGCAAATGCCTGCTACTACCATTTTTTTCCAATGAAACTTTTAAAGGAACACTATAGTGTCAGGAACACAAACATGTATCCCTGACACTACAGTGTTAAATTTACTATTTAGGTCCCCAGGCCCATTACAAAAGGTACTTAAAATTATATGTTCTCCCTGCTGCACTGGACTCCCATAGCTGAGCCAGCTTCCATGTCTGAGATCATCAAGAACGGAAAGAATTATTGGGCATGCGCAGCAAAATGCTGCATTGTGTGGCAATCAGCAACTCCTTATAGAGACACATTGAATCACTGCATCTCTACAATGTTCAGCGCCTCCATGCAGAACGTAAGAGACACTGAACGCCAGAGCTGCACAATGCACCACTACATTAGGACATGCACTGATAAAGCGAATAACCCCAAACTTTGTACCTTATGTCCTTGTCAATAAAGCTTTATGTAGCACTGGTGTGCAAATTTGCAATTGTTTGCGCTGCCCTTATTTTTTTATATTTTTTGTGGATTACTTTACCCTGCTTGGAGCTGCAGAGGGAGGTGTCAGCAGCAAAATAGGAAAAGTTAGTATTTTGATTTTCTCTGGGTACTGCAGCAACCCTTAACTCAGCTATATACTGGTCACCACTACATTAAGCTGTAGTGGTTTTGATGACTATATGTATACAGATAAAGTGTGTTTATATAAATGTATGTGATGAAAGAAGACGATAAGGGCGGTTAAGTGCAGTGGCTGCTGGTAAAGTTTTAAGATGGTGCAAGGTCAGAATCCACCAACATAGTTTGACTTCATCCCCTCTCTCTGGAAAGACAACCTACTGATATAGTGGATTATTATGAAATATTAAAATAGCGAGCAATTTGTTTTTGTTTTTTTTCATGGGTTTAACCCTTTGACTGCCAGAGATATGACTGGCCTATTGCACAGAAATATGAGTGGCATGCATTGGCACTAAGATGATTTAAACATATAATTATGTATTAGTATAAAGGAAATTACTTAGACTTATTACTTATCATGCAGGAAATTGCTTAGGCTAATGTGTTTCACTAGTCCTGCTCTGACACAATAAATTATGCTAATATATGTAATTATTACAATTGTTAGTGTTAAAAAAAAAAATCTTAAGGACAATACAATAATGAAACTGTACCTTGAAACATGGAATTGTGTGGTGACAAGCTTCAACAGGAACATACAGAGTAATTACTAAAGTGAGGATTCAAAATTAATTCAAAGTGAATTTTAAATTTGATTTTCAATCTTTGAAATATAGGTTTAGTACATTACCTGCAGGTGACACTGTAAACCATGGCTTGTCAATGGCTTACACCTAGTCCATACTACCTCAGAATTCCCCGCTAAATGAGAAGATAGTGGTAAAATTGATAAAAGTGGTAAAAGTGGTTCAAAATGTTCTCAATTTTTCCACTATCTTGCCATTTAGCTGAAGATTCTGAGGTAGTATGGACAAGGTGTGATACTCCGAGGTCCCCTATTTATATACCCCTTCTCTTTAACACTGTTGTTTTTTTTTTGGGTCCTCCTATATCCCCAGACTACCATTTTGAGAATATTCCCTTTTTTGTTATTTATATATTTCTTCATTGTTTATAAAGGTCATTAGACGTTATAAAGGTAGGGTCTCCCTCCCCTTCTTTTTTGGTCGATCCTCTTCTTGGAACCACCTGTTTTCTTGTGGTTTTCTATATCTCATATATGTATTTACTTGAGGGATACCCCTTACTTTCAGAAGTTCAGCCATAGGTAATTACGCAGACTTAGTAATCACCTACAGAGTACCACCTAACTGAGATCTGGACTCCTGGACTCTACTCTTGTTTTATTTATTGTATTTATTTTCCTATTTTTATTAATTGAAACACCTTTTGTATTGGTGTTATTTCTGGAGTTATTTCTGAAAAAAGTAGCTAAGAGTTTTATTTATATATTATACAGGTTAGGGGAGATCGGACACCCTTGCCTTGTTTCATTTCCCAGGGAGAACCAGCAAATATCTGGACCTACTATTTTAGCGGTAGGACAACTTTGCAGTGAAATTATTGTCTGGTGGATCCATATTTTTATTCCAAAACACAATAGGACTGATTTATAAATTCCCAACTGACTCTGTCAACTGCTTTCTCTGTGTCTAATGACAGAGTCAGAAGGGGTAGGCTGGATATGTTAACAAAGTCAAGGATATCTACCATTCATATTATATTATATTATATTATAACTTGAAAATCTATTTGGAACAAATTATATTTCATCTGGGTTTATAATAGTTTCATGTATAGATTATAATCTTTTTTAGCTAAAATTGTAGAGAAGAGTTTTACATCTACATTCAAAAGAGAATTTGGTCTGAAGCGTTCTAATTTAGTGGGACATTTGCCTGGTTTGAGTATTGGAATAACATTGGTTCTAACCAGTTATGCAGGGAAGGAACCTATCTGAACAATATTATTAAAAACATCTGTTAGAAAATGGGGCAAGATATATTTCTTATAGCAAATATTACTAGACCCATCTGGTCCTGGAATTTTAATTTAAAGGATTGCAATTTATTGATAGTCCCAATTTTTATCTTCGTTAGAAATTAGTAAATTTAGCTTTTGTCGTTGATCCTCTGAGATTTTAGAAACATTTATTGAATCAAAATATTTAGTTATCTCTTCTGATGAACTAAGAATGTGTATATTATATAATCTACTGTAAAACCTATTGAAAGCTTGACCTACTGTATATCATTCAAAGACAAGAAGGTTTGCAATTATTTGATATATTCTGTTATTGGCTTTCTTTTTTCTTAACTTATTTGATAGGATCCCTTCTGCTCCATTTCGTATAGCATAATATTTCTCAGTCTCTCCATGTTTTTTGCTATCTTCATTAGTTGTATCTCTTTAATTTCTATATCTCTTGAGTATGTAATATCTGTGAGAAAGTTTCATGAAAAGGATTTGATTGTTTTTTTTCTGGAGAGATTGGATAAATGTAGGCATAGAGATGATAGATCATTAACTAAGCCTTTTTCCCACTTGGCATTGTTTTATTAAATGGTCACGGATTACAGCTTTACAAGTACCCTAGTTCTTGACTAGTGATGTTTCCCCTGGATCGTTTTTTTGTAAAAAAAACAACAAAACCCCAAAGAGTAATAACTTTGCTTATATAGACTACATTTTCAGGTTTGTTTCGCAGCAGATCATTAATTATCCAAGGAGGTCTCCCTTTAACCCTTTAACGGCGTTCTATGCCATTCCCATTATGGCTTTAAAGCCGTTGCGGCTTTCTACCCCTGGACGTCCACAGTACTTACCTCTGCCGCGATCCTCTTCGGGAGGTCTGCCTGACAACCCAGGCAGCCCTCCCACGGCAATCAGGACCCCGGGGGCCATGTGATCTCTCTCAAGGAGCGATCACATGGCCCCCTATAGCTGGCTGTGGATCTGCCAGCAGGGAGACTGTCTGGGATGTCCAGAGAATCCCCCTGCTAGTGGGAAGTATGAAAAAAAATATTGTTAAACATGTTTAAAATAAAATAAGTGTGTGTGTGTGTGTGTGTGTGTATGTATATATATATATATATATATATATATATATATTAACAGATAGCTCTTGCATTCCAACTAATATGAAAAAAATATACCTGGTGCTCTGGTCGCATAAACATAGAAAGTGAAAAAAATACCGGCACTTCAAGGATTTGAATCTTATCAGTCTTCTTTTATTCCATAACCCAGTCGGGTTATGGGTTATGGAATAAAAGAAGATTGATAAGATTCAAATCCTTGGAGTGCCGGTATTTTTTTCACTTTCTCTCTCTCTCTCTCTCTATCTCTCTCTCTCTCTCTCTCTCTATATATATATATATATATATATATATATTGATTTATTGGAAGATTTTTGTGCACATGTAATTTGCATATGAAATAAATGAAGCACTTTTGAAGACCTGTGAGTGCAGCTTGTTAATATATTTTTGTATTTACAACTCTGAGGTTTGCACCCAGGCAATATTTATTTGGATATTTGTATTAAAGGGTGAGTGCCAAGCTCTATCTCTTTTTATATTTATATATATATATATATATATATATATATTATTATTATTATTATTATTATTATTATTATTATTGGCATTTATATAGCGCCAACAGATTCTGTAGCGCTTTACAATATTATGAGAGTGGGGATTTAACTATAAATAGGACAATTACAAGAAAACTTACAGGAACGATAGGTTGAATATATACATCCTATATATGTAACGTCATACGTAGTGTATTTTAATGTTAATATAAGTACATATATTAGTATTGAAATACACTTAGAATGAAGTGACATATATATAAGATATATATGTATATATTATATATATACATATATATATATATAATATATATTTTATGTTTATATATATATATATATATACGTATAATTACAATAATAAATAAAACAATAAAATAAATGAAATATTTTTACAAACATTAAAATAAATTATATATACATATGTAATTTCATTCTAACTGTATTTTGAAATTATATAATTTCAAAATACAGTTAGAATGAAATTATATATATTCAACCTATCGTTCCTGTAAGTTTTCTTGTAATTGTGTATATATATATATATATATATATAGGTGAACGCTTGGCACTCACCTCCAAAAAAATATAAATTTTTAACTCACATGCCTGAGTGCAAATTGTTGGCGTCAAATATATAAACAAAAATAAAAATCAAAATGCACTCACAGGTCTTCTGGTTAATAGGAAAACTGGTGCTTTAATAAATCATCTGTGATGTACAAAAAAATCAATCGACGTTTCGACCCTGCCGGGTCTTTTTCAAGATCATATAATACATGACAAGAAATGTATATATTATGATTGCTATCCTTTTGCTGTTTCTATATATGTATATATATATTAAAATTCAATGTGTATATTTAAGTAACTTTTACCATAATTATGTGATTTAATTAATTAAAATTTGATTGACCTGCCTGACAACCCAGGCAGAAAGTGAAGAGAATGTAATTCAGAAGCACTATATTTAACCCTGTAACTTTGCAAGACACCATAAAACCTGTACATGGGGGTACTGTTTTACAAATATTAGTGTTTCAAAATGATAAATTGTATTACAATGATGATATTTTCAGTAAAAATGAAGTTATTTGCATTTTTCACACACAAACGGCACTACTGACAATATTATTAATGTAATATGTTTTACTGTTTTGAAACACTTATGTTTGTGTTCAGTGACGTCCCCCAAGTATAACAGTACCCCCATGTACAGGTTTTATGGTGTTTTATGGTGTTTTGGGAAGTTAGAGAGTCAAAAATAAGGCTTGCATTTCGAATGAGAATTACCCCCATGATGGCATACCATTTGCAAAAGTAGACAACCCAAGGTATTGCAAATGGGGTATGTCCAGTCATTTTTAGTAGCCACTTAGTCACAAACACTGGCCAGATATTTGTTTTTTGCTTTTTTCACACAAAAACAAAAATGAACGCTAACTTTCACCAGTGTTTGTGACTAAGTAGCTACTAAAAAAGACTGGACATACCCCACTTGCAATACCTTGGGTTGTGTACTTCTGCAAATGGTATGCCATAATTTCTCACAGTTTTATTTTATTTTATTCATAATAAATTGTTTCATATATGAATAGTTCATGAGAAATTAAAGTCCTGTTTCTCCTGAACAAAATGATATATAATAAGTGTGGGTGCACTTAATATGAAAGAGGTGAATTACAGCTGAACAGACATATAGCGCAAATTCCAGTTTTTGTTTACATTTTGTTTTGATCTACAGTAAGTGCTCCCCAATTTTTGATATCTCTGAACCAGTGTGTCTTCTGGATAAAACAGATGTCAACAAGTTCTTTTAGGAGAAAATTATAAACATGAGATCTTTTTGGGGGGTGAATTCAGACCTTGCACATTTACTGAAATCAGCTTAACAATATTGCTAACAAAAATCTCCCGAGACCAGACTGCGACCCCTCCATAGCTCATAAATAAAATAAATAAATAAAAACCAAGAAACTAGATAAGAATAGAAAGAAAAAAAGCATTGGATCAGATGTATCTTGATCCATATTTAATCAGTGCGCCAGGAAAATTCGCCCCATAACCTGGCGAACTGAACCCGATCTGGGCTTCTCTCAAAATGCCTCTCTATTTGGGTTTATAATATGTATTACAAGATCTATTTTTCAGAATTATAATTTGCCTCATTCCAATGAGGAGTTGGAATTATTCTGAAAATATTGTTTTAGCTCCCGTTTATACAGCCTAGTTTTCATCTCGCATTTTGTCTTTAAAACCTACATCAGGGAGAACCTTTTTGTTAACAAATCCATACCTAGTATTTAAAGTTTCATATCCATTATTTATCGTCTGCCGATTGTTTATTAATTTTAAAAAAGAGATTTTTGTTGCTTGTATTGGTAAGAGGTTTAGGTAATGAATAGAACTTGTCTGGTGCCTTTGCTCTAGAGGAATGGTGGTGTATAGGGGAGTATGCTATACTGATTCGATGCAGCATTCTCTACTAATGAGGAGCTTATTTTGGCTCTTTTTATATTTTTAGTAATTTTGCCTATAAGCTAATGAGCCATAAGATATCTTATTGGTTTATTATTAATAATTATCGGTAACCTATTAAGAGGAAATATATTCCCTTTTAAGAATCAGAGCTTGTCCCCTTGTCCCTGAATAAGACATCCACCACCATCTTCCAATGGCTATCTCTATTTTCTAGTCTGATAAGTATTTTTGTATCTTTTAACATGTTTAGTTGATAATTATCATTTGTTGCCTAACAATAATGCATTTTTTTAAAGTGTTTATGCTTAAGTTTTTAATTTTGATAAATGTATATTTGCCTTTTATAAGTTATGTCCGTGTTTTTCTCACGATGTGCTTTACCATGGACCCAGTCCAGATTTTTTATTTGCCCCTTATCCCATGGTGCTCATGGGGTATTTAAACCCGGACCTCTGGGAATTATTTTGTCTTTAAAAAGTCATGTGAGAGGGATGAAACGCGTTGATACTCTGTTTTAGCTGACAATTTGATCTGTTCCTGCCTAGAGCGTTTGTGAGATTAGAGCTACTGCTTCTGTCTTCCCGTGAGTTCATACCTTTTTTTCAGTTCATATTCCTGCTACAGTAGTTGATGTCCCTGGCATCCTGTCGTCTAGTCTGGATCTAAGGGTTGGTTATTTATTTCTGCTGGGAGTTTGCCTCCTATATACCACGGTCTTTTTCGAAGATCCCGACCGCAGTGTTACCAATTACCACCCACTTATCGATTACGTCTGGATTTGATGGCTTGTCCATCTGACACCATCCTGGTGTGATTTCAATCATTATGATAAGAACAAATCCTGTTTATTCTCTATTGTCACTCAGCCAAAACTTTAGCATACGTTTTTAATACTTTGGATCGATAATACAAAGATGCTTACCACTATTGCACTGCAAGGGGTCTTCATCTGTTTTTAAATGACTGTAATCAATGGATATTTGGTCATGAATATGTTATGAAGGGACTTTTGAAGGATGCTGTAGAGATTAGAAGACAAGTTGTGATTTATAAAGTTTGCAGCACATTGCATTAGGATTCTCTATGTTATTTTTAAATTTTATACAAAGGGAATTTTTATAAAAGGAACATTCCAAACACCACAAACACTATCACCTGCAGTTGTTATGGTGCCATGACTGCACTGGTGTCCTCTCGGTGTAATTTGTCATACTGTTTAAAAACAGTTTAACAACCTAACTGAGCCCCACTGGTTGCCTGCACCTGCAGCCGCTGTTTACGTTTTCTCCTTTCAAACCATGATTTAACTCTATGAAGACATCCAGCTATGGGTTGACGTTTTGTGAGGTGTGTGACTAGCTGAGTGATGTGTGTTGTTAGGTGCACATTAGAATTATTTATTTTGCACAGTGATTCATGCATACTGACAAACACAGTGACACATAAACACTTACTGACACACAGTGACCTATTCAAACATACTGACACAGTCACTGGCACACACAGTGACCCATACAAACATACTGACACGCTTACTGACACACACAGTGACCCATACAAACATACTGACACACACAGTGATACACACAAACATACTGACACAGACAGTGAACCATACAAATACTGACGCACAAACACAGTGACCCATACAAACATATTGACACACACACAGTGACCCATACAAACACAGTTATCCTTACACCCTCATTGTTGTATACAGTGACTCATACACACTCTGACACACACACCACACTCCCATTATGCTGTCCCTTGCCAGATGCTACCCAGAAACCTCACTATCCAGTATTTTCCAGAGTTTTGACATCATTATGTATCCCGGTGGCCTTTAGGTCTGTAAATTATTGTGAGGAGCGTCTTGCTGCCCTTCCTCTTTTCATCTCCCCACCAGTACTCCAGGGTGGGGAAGGTAATATTTTAAATAAAAAAAATAGCTGGTAGCGGTTGATTGGGAGAGCTGCCTCGCGAGTCGCAACACAGAGTGGTCGATGCTCTCGCTAGGGAGATCTTCTGATCTCCCTGCCACTTATGTAGGGAGCGCATTAGGGTGTGATTGGACACACCTGGCATACCTCGTGCAAAATACTAATTGAGATCAGTCATTGTTTATGTGAAGGCGACAATGCCCTCACATACAATGTTTTTTCCACATATTTCACTAATTTAAAAACATTTTAGTTATTCAATTACATGGGCACATTC